ATGAAAGCGTGTATTCCAATTATCTGGTTTCGGGGAATACTACTCTCAGTAGCCCTGATTTGTCTGGAGCAAAAGGTGCGAAGGAAGGGTTCAATTATTACATTTAACACCGTGACAACACGTGTGTTGCAAGATCTCATTCAATTCAAATCTCATCCCTTTGTCTTTAATGCGCATGCGTGTGACGTATACACGAGCCTAAACGTTCAGTTCGAAAAGAATAACAAAAATTCTATTTTTGTTGTTGTTGTTTGTTTGTTGTTAAGCGCAAACCTACACGATGGACTATCTGTGCTCTACCCTCCGCGGATATCGAAACCCGATTTTTAACATTATAAGTCCTCAAACTTGCCGCTGAGCCACCAGGGGCGGGGGGGGGGAGGTATTCTAACGAAGTATCTAATATTTCCTTCCTTCTACTTGGGTTGATAGATTAGCTCATTTTGTCGTGTTCTTTTAAAAATCAGGAAGAAACTAGGAAGAACAGGGTGGAATTTAGAGGGGGGGATATGATCTACTTTAGCGATATGCACTTTGTGTGACATTTTTTAAATAAAGATCAGTATTTCTTCGCGTATTAAAACCTAAAAATAAAAAAAAATGATTACGTAAAATATTCTGGTACGTAGTGTTTTCGGATAATTTTTTTATTAAATAATTAAATCTATCATTAAAAAATGAATAATGTTACGTTACGATTTCTTATCTGAAAATTGATTTGTAATTAATTGTTTGTAATTAAACACAAAGCTACACAATGGGCTATCTGTGCTCTGCCCACCACGAGTATCGAAACCCGGACTCTAGCGTTGTAAGTCCGCAGACATACCGCTGTGCCACTGGGGGGCATTGTAAGTGTAAAAATTGATAATAATTAAAATACACCTGCTTAATTTGGTTCACACCCTAGTAGTTGTCCAGAAAATTGTTATATATATATATATATAGCATCTAAACCGCTACTATATCTGTCGCCCCCCCCAGTGGCACAGCGGTATCTCTACGGGTTTCGATACCCGTGGTGGGCAGAGTACGGATAACCCATTATGTAAGCTTTCTGCTTAATTACAAACAAACACAAGAATTCCCTACAATAGGCACAAAACCAAATTCTTGGCAAAAATACCTTTCTACGTTTTATCTAATCAACAGACTGGATAATACATAGCTGTCCTCAACCGTATCTCCTGACCGTCGACTTAAAACAGACCACCATATTATATCTGTTGTACATATCGTTATTAATCTATGTGTTTTATTAAACTCGCTTTTCTTTTTTTAGAATACTTTCAAGTAGATTTTTCGGCGCCTGGGTTTTCTCGGGGTACTCCCGTTTGCCACCCCCCCCCCCCCATCAAAATTTAACCTTCGGTCCTGTTATCCCAGCTCTGAAAAGGAACCATTCCGCGAAATTTGAAAAGCTAAGAATTAAAAAAAAAATTAAGCTTCAACATTCAAACCTTCGGGGCTTGTTAGATTTCAAACCAAAATTCCTGCCAGGTTTTTATTTGTTGTTATGTATCCCAACCGGCCTGGTGAGTCCTAGCATTGGTGGACAGGCCGCGTTGGCACTGAATTTAGCAGATTTAACATATTGTGTTATTTCTTACTTTACTTACACTCGGTAGTTCTTTGATTTTACAGCGGATTTACAGTGAGTTTATAATTCATAAATCCCTTCTTTTCTTTGTCCAATTCACATACATCTTCCAATTATGGCCCAGTTGTTTTTCGAACCAGTTTATATATATTTCTGGAACACCGACGATTAAACGGCAACCTTGTGTAAGGAATTTCCATGCAGGAAGGAAGGAACGCTGTTCACACAAAGCAACTGCCTCGTTTCGAACCCGGACCTCTGACAGCAAGTATGAGGCCGGTTTTGCCCTAACACTTTTCGTACACGATTGGTCAACTCAATCGGTTAACTAGTTTGAAATGATCAAAGCGTATAAATGATGGCATCATCCGCCTACGTTACCTTTAGGTTTCTATAAATGTATGATTCTCGTAATTAAACCTACGTTCACTATTACTGTTTATTTATTTTTTTAAATACATAATTCTAAACAAGACGTGTCAAAATAAAACATGCAAGGGTTAATTCGAAATGTTAGTCGTATAACTCAATTCAGTCCACGGGAAGCTCAACGGTATAAATTTGAGCTTATATAACACTAAAATTCGAGTTTCGATTCCTGTGGTCGACAAAATACAGATAGCTGTATAAATATAGATAAAATACAGATAAGTGAGTGTAAATCGCATATCATCTTGCCCCCCCCTTTCCTAGTGGCTGAGGTCTTATAACGCTTAAAAATTGGGTTTCGATAACCGCGGTGGGCAGAGCTCTGATAGCCCAATGTGCAGCTTTACGCTCAACAACAAACTTGTGTGTGTGTGTGAGAGATAGAGAGACTCGCGTTGCCAGTGAACCCACACGATAAACTCAGTCAAGTCTCTAAAATCCTCAATTTTTATTGCTCCTGCAAATAAAAAAAATAAAAAATGGAACGCAAAAGAATCAGAATTATTGCTTGAAATTCTTGAAGTTACAACTTACGACCTTTCACAGATCGATGTTAAGTTTCCTATAAGTAGTAGTTCGAATCTCCAACAGGGTCGGATTGATTATACCAGTTGTAAACAGTCAAGATGATACTGGTTGTTATAACCATACTGTTGGAGAAACGTTTTTTTTCTTTTAGTTTCTGCAAGTGTAGCCGATCAACGGCGACAAATTCAATTACTCTACAAACCTCTTTGAGACCTGATTTAATTAGCTCTGAAAGAGTATAATGAATCTCGAGATAATTTCAAATTACTTTAAAAGATCCTCGAGTAGCGTGCGTCAATGAAAAACCGGCGTGTTTTGACGTAATTGAACGTAACTTAAATTCTTCCAATCAGCGGTCTTCAGTAGAATTTAAGATAAATTATTTATTAAATATTGTCCAGGTGTTCAAAAAAAAAGGATGATTAAACCACGTGTATGCAAGGTTTTCATTGAAATGGGTAAATCAGTGGGTTATTTTCATTCTAACAACCGGGGGAGAAGGGAGCTAACACCCGGATTTTATTGTCGGAAGTCCGTAAACTTATCGCTGACCCAACAGGGGTGCGTGGGGGGGGGGGGTAAGATGCTCGTGAAAGTCAGTATATGCTAGGGAAATGTACTAGGAGGTTTTGGACTCTGGCCAGGAACCCCAATTGCCCCATGGCCTTCTAGAACTTTCTTTGTTGTATATTTTAATGTAGTTCACTCACTCTTTTCTCATTTCAATTACGTTACACAAATAAATAAGAATTCTCGCATGTTAATGATTTTCTTAATATATATCATAACTAATATTAACAATACCATAAGGGACACCGTAGAAATAACAATACCATAAAGCATACCTTATAAATAACAATACCATAAGGCACACCGTAGAAATAACAATACCATAAGGCTTACCGTAGATAACAATACCATAAGGCATACCGTATAGACAACAGTACCATAAGGCATACCGTATAGACAACAATACCATAAGGCATACCGTAGAGATAACACCTGATTCCCGAACATAAATACTGTTTACTTCAGATAAGTAAATATGGTCCAGTGCGAGCGGCTAGCAGGAACCCACATGTGTCTGTTGAGTATCCCCCACGAAGCACACTGGTGGGTCTTAGACGGTTGTTCACCTAGGCCTACACTCATGTTTCACTACGCTCAGGCACCTTAAAAATTTCTCGATTAATTATACAAGTTCATAAACAGCACAGACTGTGTAATGTAAAACAATATACAAATGTTAAAATATTCAGTATGATTACAGCATAGTAAGGAAACAAATTATAAGTCACGAACTTCAACTTTGACCATTGGCCTTCACCTTAAAATAAACAAAGGGGGGTAAAATAGATCAACACCCTGTAAAACATAATCGCTTACCCAACAATAAAATGCAAAACGGGGGACAATAACTGACGTAGTTGCAAAATATAACATCATGGTTTGGTCACTGTGAATTCAAGGCCAAATCACGAGCTGTCTGTGACTCCTTATAAATGCATGGCCAAGCAACGAGCTGTCTGTGACTCCTTCTGAATACATGGCCAAGCCACGAGCTGTCTGTGACTCCTTCTTCTGGATACAAGGCCAAGTCATAAGCTGTCTGTGACTCCTTCTTCAGGATACAGGGCCAAATCACAAGCTGTCTGTGACTCCTTCTTCTGGACACAAGGCCAAGTCATAAGGTGTCTGTGACTCCTTTTTCTGGATACAAGGCCAAGTCATAAGCTGTCTGTGACTCCTTCTTCTGGACACAAGGCCAAGTCATAAGGTGTCTGTGACTCCTTCTTCAGGATACAAGGCAAAATCACGAGCTGTCTGTGACTCCTTCTTCTGGACACAAGACTGATTTCACGAATTATTAAAGACACATCAGTAGTACCAAAGACAATACATCAACCTCATATACAGAATGGACACGTAATTGTAATGAAATGTAACGTTTATTGAAAGTTTAACTTTCTTGTGCAGGACCTCTGCTACCACGGAGGAGAGGGGAATCATAGTTATGCCACTATATGGTTATGTCTGCTTGTACATACTAGAACAAAGTTGTCAACAAATTCCCTGTTTTATCAAAGAGCAATTGTTTAATATAAAGTTTATTATAGTGGTTTTAAGATCTGTTTTATAACCAATACAAAGACCTCAATATATAATTACACGAACAAAAAAAAAACGTTCTTCTGGTCTAAACTTAAAATACACAAACCTATAATATAGCTTTAATTTATCATTATCTACACGTTAGAGGTCTGGTGTGGCCCAGTGATTAGCGTGTCCGGACTGTTACATAAACGCGTGTGGGCATGGGAATGCTATCAAAGAAGACATGAGCAAACAAACTACGTAACAAAATAAGAAATTTCTTCTTCTAACTCCCCGGGGTTTCTTCTTCTCATATATACACACAGACATACGGACAGACACGAAGAAAAATTTTAAATGTTTCCTTTCTTTGTTTGCTACGTTCATAAATTAAAACGCAATCTTTTCATCAAAGAATGAATCTGTTGAAAAAAACGTTACACCAATCAATGACCACAAACTCATGCTCAATGCCTTGTTACTTGCTTCGGGTGAGTCTGTCTCTTCCTGTCATCATATTCAGTCTCCATGACAACCGAATCCAGCCGATTGTTCCTCCTTAATCAGATTAAATTTGGATGAAATAATAGCTTTTTTTGAAAATTAACATATCATGTATATAACGCTGGGAAATATGTAACATTTTTAGGGTAAAACCAAAATCGATATATGTCCGGTCTTTCTCTGTGTATATACACACACACACGCATTGAATTAACTATCTTGTCTTCATCTCCTAAAATATAGCTTCAACGACACTACTGGCGAGATACCTCTAAGGCGGAAAATGGGTTCAGTGCAAGTAATGAGGAAACAAGAATAATAAAATACGTTGAAGGTTTTATAAAAAAAAAATGTTGCTGACGCTAAGAGAGTGTAATGCGACAGCAGTCTTACACTAGGAGAATAGTAATAAAAAATCATACATTGACAAACTTCTACACTGGGAGTAGAGTAATGACAAATCATACCCTGACAAAATTCGACACTGGGAGTAGAGTAATGACAAATCAAACCTTGACAATCTTTTACACTGGGAGTATGGCAATAAAAAATCATACATTGACAAACTTCTACACTGGGAGGAGAGTAATGACAAATCAAACCTTGACAATCTTTTACACTGGGAGTAGAGTAATAACAAATCATACCTTGACATACTATTGTACTGGGAGTATAGTAATAACAAATCATACATTGACATACTGTTGTATTGGGAGTATAGTAATGACAAATCATACCTCGGTATACTGTTGTATTGGGAGTATAGTAATGACAAATCATACCTCGGTATACTGTTGTATTGGGAGTATAGTAATAAAAAATCATACCTCGATATACTGTTGTATTGGGAGTATAGTAATGACAAATCATACCTCGGTATACTGTTGTACTGGGAGTATAGTAATGACAAATCATACCTTGACATACTGTTGTACTGGGAGTATAGTAATGACAAATCATACCTTGACATACTGTTGTACTGG